AGTTCACAAAACAGACGCCAATCGACTCTCCAGACGATTCATTGCTGAGCGAATCGGCGAACAATGTGTTCCTCGGCTTCACATACATAGCGCCGTCCGTTTTGGAGGAAATGCATAAACCATTCGCCGCGAAGACGAGGAATCATTCGCCGCGCAAAATCAATAGTCCGGAAATACTTAACCAAATGAAGAGTTTGCCGAAACAACTCTTCCCTAACAGTTCCAACAACACGACCGGTCGCTATGGAGTGCCCATCACCGCCGATGAACACATGGACTGTTCCAACACTTACTCAACTAATAACAACATCTCTCGTTCACACGTCTATCCAATGAAAACACCGAACCGTTCGCCTTCTCTACCCGTTAAGAATAGTATCAAAAAAGTAGGTCTAATCGGAAAATAGTTAAATCATACCATTCTTTGTCTTTACTTTTCTCAATATATTATGTTTAATAAATGATTTAATTTCTAATCAATTTTGTTTTGTTGTTTTTCGCATATAGTATCAACTTTGACCCCTTTTTCACGTTTTAGGATTAAGTAAACAATTTTTTATTAATTAATTTTAATTATAAATAACTTATCTTTAAATTATTATTGAAAATTATTTAAATTATTGAAAATTTAATGCAATTGTATATGAAATTTAAAGTCGTGCCTAATTTTTATATAAGATATATATAACAAATGACACTAACATTTAGGTAAATTAATTCCCGATTTAACGTTTTAACGATTCTCGTTTCGTTGGATACGATGTTTTAACTTAAAAATTCAAAAATGTTTAAAAATACTGTTTTTTCTTTTATTTATAAAAAATGGTAAAATAATTTTTTTGTTCTTATATTTAATTATAATTTAAAACAAACATATTATTCGATTTCGTTTTTATTCAATTTATTAAGCGATTGAACCAATTCTGCCACTAATTGTCCCCTAAAAACAAATAAAATTAAAATTGAATGCTTTTTATAAGAAGTGATTGTATAAGTATTTAATTGGAGTGAATTAGTACTCACTGATTGGTTAGCATGTCTTTAATGCCCTTAATTTGGTTTGGAGTGGGAATGGGTTTGTGTGTGAGATGTGAACCCTTTTGAGAAGTGTGTTGAGTGGAGTCGACGATCGGGAGGTTATGTTGTGTCTGATAAGTGCACTTCACTTGAATCTGTTGCAGTTGAATGCGGTGCGCACTGACACGCTCTCGGATCAGATTCAGTTCGTCCCTGAGTTGTATCTCCGGTCCGGACAACTCTGGCCTCTGGAACTGCAGGCACTCCAACACTTTGTTGATCCTTTCGGTCAACAATTCCTGACATTCTTTAGTTTTGTCGTATTTGTCGACCAAAACGATCAATGCGTTCATTATTGAGTCCTTTTCTGACAAACATATAATTTAAAACAAACATATTATTCGATTTCGTTTTTATTCAATTTATTAAGCGATTGAACCAATTCTGCCACTAATTGTCCCCTAAAAACAAATAAAATTAAAATTGAATGCTTTTTATAAGAAGTGTTGTACAAGTGTTTAATTGGAGTGAATTAATACTCACTGATTGGTTAGCATGTCTTTAATGCCCTTAATTTGGTTTGGAGTGGGAATGGGTTTGTGTGTGAGATGTGAACCCTTTTGGGAAGTGTGTTGAGTGGAGTCGACGATCGGGAGGTTATGTTGTGTCTGATAAGTGCACTTCACTTGAATCTGTTGCAGTTGAATGCGGTGCGCACTGACACGCTCTCTGATCAGATTCAGTTCATCCCTGAGTTGTATCTCCGGTCCGGACAACTCTGGCCTCTTGAACTGCAGGCACTCCAACACTTTGTTGATCCTTTCGGTCAACAATTCCTGACATTCTTTAGTTTTGTCGTATTTGTCGACCAAAACGATCAATGCGTTCATTATTGAGTCCTTTTCTGACAAACATTTGTTTAACTCTTTTAATTGTATCTCTTTATCAGTTGACAACACTTTAGCTCTTTTCTCGATAGCATTGGCGACCAAATCATAGCGTTTAATGTATTCGGTTTTTAAAGTGTCGGTTGCGGTCAACACGAGCTCCAAGTTGTGGGACAACTCCTTATTTGTGGGCTCTTTGGACTTCAGTAACGGAACGCTTGCATTGCGTTTCAGTAATTGTTTGATGTATTCATTGAAATCTACTTTTGGTACAGAAATATCAGATAATATATTGGATTCGAGGTCTTCGAGACCGTTATTCTCTTCATCGAAAATGTGTGCGATATATGTAGGGGTGAGTCGACGTCCAATCAACTCGCCTGAACTCAACATAACTAAAACAAATGTATAGCCGTTTTGAACGCCGATCCCAACGCCTAAGGGAACGATCGATACATCCCTGTCATCAACCGATTCATTGCCACCGGCTATAGGTTTGGTGCAAATCAAGTGCTCGACAATTGATTCCTCTTCGCGAAATTGTTTCTCGTCTTTGGATTTGAGTTGAGATACGAATGGGAAAGAAATGGCGTGAAGTCCACACGAATGGCTGCAGAAGTATCGCATGGGAATCATATTGTCTTTATGAAGGGTTAACGTACAGCTCATGTCTTGAACGCTATCAGGGCTTGTGGTGAGTGAAAGCGATAACTCAATGGTCTCGTAAACATATAGTGTTGGCTGAGGTAGTAATGTGTGCTTCGAGTCCAACTCATTGTCGCCATCGAGGGCTATGCAGTGATGGATAACACCGAAACACGTGGCGATCACTAGCACTGGTGGCACACAATCGAGACAAACAATACTACAAGCGTCGGCCCCGTAATTGTCTTCGGCCGGGGGTCTCATAGTTAAGGGTCCGAACACATTGTTGGACACATACGGGTATTTGAGACTCGAATAGACGAGCAAAACGTCTCCATTACCTCTGAGAACGTATATAGGAGTGAGACATTCGTCAGCAGAGGTGACAGTAGAGGGCTCGACGTCATAGCATTTGGAAATGGTTGGCCCGAAATCAAAACTGACCGCATTGTCACCCAATGAGGCGGCGAATGCAGACACACCGAAGTGAGGGATGGATGTATTGGTGTCAGCCGTGGCCGACAAGTCAATCACTTGAATGGGGGTCTCCTCCTCGTGAATGTCAAATATTCTGTCAAATTGTTTTCAAAATAAATGTGTTTGCGTTTCAATGGGACTGTTATACTGTGTGTTAAAGACTATTCAAACCTCAAACTATTATCATTAATGAGTAGAACGATGTGTTGTTGAGGACTGTTTGGGTGCCAACGACTGCATAATAACTCAATATTTTGATTGCAAACAAAGAATCTTTGGCCTAAAGACCAGGACCTGAAAGACGATTACAGCATATTTAGTGTTCAATCAAACAAAATAAAAGACAATCACAAGAGTCTTGAGTTAATGTAAAAACGCAGACATAAGTACTTTAATTTATGCTTCAATTCATGTTTTAATGGATATTCTCATATGTATTGCAAAATCTAATTATTAGAAAATATTAGAAATTTATTCAGAATCTAATCAATAGTATTGTATTATATGTTAAGAGTATATTGTATTTGAAGTATTAATCAATAATTTTAAAGCTGTTTCTAATTCTAATGAATTTCGGTCTCATATCCAATAAGAATGAGAGGAAAGATATCAAAATATGTCGTTTAAATAGTGATGGCTATAGAAAGTGATGTCAAAACTAAACGCAAATATAAAATCTCTTTAAATTATTTGACATATAATGTAATGCAGAGAATATATAAGTTATAACTGATATATAAGTATTGATCAGTTGGAGAGAGAGAGAGAGAGAGAGAGACTATTAGAGGGAGAGAAAATATTTTCGCATTTAATTTAATTTTAAATTATTTCAGAGAGAGAGAGAGAGAGAGAGAGAGAGAGAGAGTACAGAGCAGGTGGTGTTGGGCTCTTTGCTCTTATTATCATTTTTAATTGCCATCTGTTTTGTTCAACTTTAGAGCACAAATTGTTTTATATAATGGATATCTTCGCTGAGATTCACTGCAATAATAGTAATGCAGAGAATGTACTCAAGAGTCGAGAGAATAGAATAAGTATAAGTTATATACAGTAATACCCATCTATTGAGGGACTATTGCATAGCAACACAAATGGGCATCACTTTTATGCCAATCAATAAATACGACCAAAGAGTTAAATATAAACGGGTTAAGCAATAAACTTAATACACACTATAGTCTATACACTACTATTTCATACCAATGTAACCAATACTATGGGATACCGACTCAGCCGTCTGTGCGCTCCAACACTGGAGATTGGGTTTAATTATTTCCGGAGCATTAATTCCCGATTCCTATTAAACATGGGATGACAGATAACCTCAACACAAATACCAGTCCTCTTAATTGTAAAGTATCGCTACGACATTCGCACAGCAAACAATACACCGCTTTCTTATGTTTTTAATATCCATTTTCAATATCCCTATCCTTAGAGTATATAAAACCGTATCGTATAATAAATTTATTAAACGGTCCAAAAGTGCTCAAAACATCGCTAAAACAGACACAACCTTATGCTCACTCTCTAGAAGTTAACAACTATTATGTGAAGCAAAACATAAACATTAATCTCATCTTTTCTTATATAAAAAACAAATTCCTCATTAAATATATCTAATTGTCTTAAAGATAACTATATATCAGAATTTTGACCATTTGTATTGTTTTAATAAACGTCGATTAGATTTTTAATACAAACCAATAATTTTCTATTAAAGTTAATGAATGAGAAGCAGAAAAAGAGTAGAGGAGTAGTAACATAATATTGAAGCAAATGATGCGCTAATGTAAAGCAATGTTACGGTGGGATGACTTACCTGCTGAGAACAGAGGCTTTCCCGCCCTCATAGCTGCCGTTAATTCCCCATTTAGGCGGCAATTCAACGATATTAATACCTCGTGAGCCATAGACAGCGAGATAGCGACCAGTGCTGCAAACATCGAGATTCTCGACTTCAAATAACGGGGCGTCGGTTAATATGAGACACTTGTGTCACGCGAGAGGACAAAGATTGTGGAAAGAAATTGAAAATTATGACAATATATGACAAAAACTATAATAAAAGTAATATTATGTGAAATATTGCAAAAGACATCCAAAGTTAGTGTGTATTACGAGTGCATAGAATCGGATGCAATCGTATTAAGGCTTCAATGATTTGTCAATGCATTCAATGGAAAGCCATTTCAATGACATGTTTTGCTTATAAAATAAATAAATGTTTGATTAAACCATAACGAATGGCTAATGGTTTGGTATTATAGCACCACTTGTTATATAAATACCAATTATGGGACAAAGTCTTAAGTGTCTGTCACACCAATTGTGGCGAATATGAAATGTTGACTATTCTCTGTGTTTTGGTCTAAAGTGTAATGCAATGAGTGCTCAAATCATAACAATATATCCATTCGTCGAGACAAGTGGTGCGAAACAAATGTGATTTACAGTGAATGCAACTGTATTTGGTTTAACTGTGATAAGGGATAGCAACAAAAAGTTGTATTGGAAACCTATTGGCAAAGGTATCTCAAATACATATCTCTTTCTACATAACAGTTATTGTATCACTATTTATGCCTCAAGTCATTAACTCGATCATCATATGTAGGACCAACTCATCCAACATATGCCAATCCTAAGCAATAATATTATGCTATAGTCTCTGAATTGAAATCAATGCATCACTTTTTATATGATTTTTCTATAAAGTGTTACACGAGTGGCACAACACAACTGTTCAATGGTGTGTCAGTAATGTCGCAAACCGTTACTTCTTTTTAGGCAAAAAACATTTAAATGTATAACACTTTGAGAGCAATGTTTTGGCGGAAAGTTTTGGTTTTGCCATTTAAAGAGCCAATTACTAAATGCTATACAATTTTGTGAGTTTTAGATAAAATGCAGTCGACTTTAGAGGAGAGGGAAAGAGAGTGAAAGCAATGCTACATCAGTGGAAAAGTAGTGTATATGTGAGCATACAGTGGATTGTATAGCAAATAGAAGGCAATGTTATTGCATATATTATTAGCAGTGGATGTTTAGTGCAATAACATTATGGGATTCGTATGCAAATGTCTCAACACATTCATCAATTGCAACTAAAGCCAACTTTTGCTTCATTTTTATTAGTTTGCATTGCATTGGCTTTTATGGCAAATACACGAGTAATATAACGTTATGTTTGCTTATATATAAGCCATATATTTATCTAAAAAACTAATAGAATGTATTTGTAGTATTGGTATATCCATTGGAAATGGAGTTCAATTGAGCACAAATTTACAAAAACTAAATGCAATTCGGATATGTATACAAATAAATATATATTTTTATATTTTCAATAGCAATAAACTTTGTGGTAATAGATATTTAAAACAGGGTTTCAGTCGAGGCTATAGTTTAGACCGCATTACGACTCCAGACATAACCAGTAATAGCTATAAGAATGGCATCGCATCCAAAAGCACATCAATTTCCTCTATTTTATCATTCCTATAGAGTATTATATAATGTTTTCATGTTTCCCATAATTCAGTCAATTTCTTTGGTCCACAAAATGCAATACCAATGCAATAGACATGTAATCAAAGTTTCATTTAGACTCAAAATACCACAATTTTGTTATAAACAATCTATAGTTAAACATCACTCGCATTGATCCTAAAAACATGCTATTTTAGTGCCAATCCCTAAAGGGTTTACAATACCAATACAGTACAACAGCAGCTAATTCTCCATACATTGCATTACACAACAATCGCCAATCACTTAAAGGCAACAAATTTAGTGTCAAAGAGTTGAACATTAAGAATATGGCAACAAAATGACAGCAAAACAATCACTAAAAAACTTATATAAATTGATAATACAATACAACTGTTATATGAATTGTATGTCACATACCGTACAAACTCAACGCTAACATCGAAACAATAACAGTATTAGAAAATTATTTGAAGACATTTACAAATATAGGGAAAACAGATTTGTGAATACTTTTAGCAAACAATAAATAGTTTGAACAAAAAAGGAGTAAAATTGTAGTCAAAGAGCGAATGATTACATTCTAGTCGGCGTCGAGTCGAGAGTTATTGCAATCAAACTAAACATGAATTTCAAAGTCGTATCACAACTACTATTAGATAATGGATTCAAACTATTGTTGCACTTATTTTGCAACCATTTCTGCATATAATGCCTAAACATTTGTATTAAACATATTTAATGCCATCGCTTTGCCTGACATTTGGCAAAAAGTGATGCCAAAAGTGATGAATTGTATGTAAAGAGATAACATTGCAAATCGTTTTTTACTATTAAAAAAGTAGTGACGGCTCCGTTCAGCACTGGTATGGCTCGCGGCACCAATTTCTCAAAGTTATTTGTGCGCCCAAACCCTTACATATCACTAGTGATGATATTCGCTATTCAAATGTGATTCACAAATAAGTGAAACCCTTTTAACCGAAAGCATCAGTAAAAATGAAAGTAAAAAAGGTTTTCAATTAATATTACATATAATATATAACTCGAGAAGTGAACACAAAAACATATAAATTCAAAGTCTAAAAAGCCTTCAGTAATGGATAGGAAACATAAATTTATTCATTGAATTGAGAGATAAAGAGTTGGTATTAAACATGAAGAAAGTGATGCTTTTCACGCCAATCGTTGTGCAAAATATATATCAGTGTTTGGGCTGACCTACAAACTCATACAATAGCGTTGGCGTTAATTACTATATTGGCTTTAGATTGCAAACATAGTTGAGAGAGAGAGAGAGAGATGGGGAAGACGATCGGGAGGTTATGTTGTGTCTGATAAGTGCACTTCACTTGAATCT